TAAGGGGCCTCTGTGCTCCCTGTTGCCCAGGGGTTTAGAGTGCCCAGAGATCCCCAGATTCCCTGCCTCTGGGCTGAGTGTCCTTTCCTGCCCCTTTAAGACTTCCAAAAAGCACTCTCCAAACCAAAACAACAACAGCAACAACGAAAGAGAAAAAAAAGGGGGGGGGAAATGCGCGATTTTCTTTGTCCTCAGGCGCCGGTCTCAGGCACCCGCTCACTGGTCTTGCTGCCCTGTTTCCCTAGTATTGGGGTCCCTGTCCCTTTAAGGCTTCCAAAAAGCACTTGCCAAAAAAAAGGGGAAAAATGCGTGATTTTCTTTAGGACTTAAGTTTTTGACTTCTCACATTTCAGTGTCAGGTACTTATTTTCTGATCCCTTGTTTTTAGCTGTACTGTGAGGTCAGCACTGATCTAGGTAGTCCTTGGTATCACAATGTTCAGATGAGGCAAAGATTCTAGGGGCTGAGCTAGAAGAAGGGAAGATGGCACTCTTTTCAGTGCAAGGTGGGGGCTGAGGGCAAATGGACTAAATTTAAGCATTTTTTCTCAGCACAACTCTTAAGTTTCTGTTTCAGAAGTTCTCAAATGTACGTTGACTGAATAGACTGCTGGGGATGCCTCTGAAGCCACCTGTGGAGAGGCTGGATGTTGCCCTGGGCAGCATCAGGTGATCTCAGTGCAAGGCTGCTTCCTCTGGTCAGAAATCTGGCTGTGAAGCACTTAGGAGACATTAGATAATGAGGCATGGCCTGGGACTGAGAGTTTGAAATGTGGTGCGTTGGGATTGTAGATCTTCCAGTCTCCTATGTGCACAGAAGCTGTGGACAGGACAGGTGCTGTTTTAGGAAAGTCTACAGTGTGGACCCTTTTTGTCAGTTTTTCCTTCTGTTATTATTTGGTTGGTTGCATGGGAACTTGTGGGCGCTTTTCTTTATCTTTTTGCTAAAGAATGTAGCTTCCTCCAACCTTGTACTGAGACTTACAGACGTGTCTGGGCATTATACATGGAAGGGATGGCAGTGCCTGATTCCTTTTGTGGAGAAGCTCCTCTTATGGAGAAGTTCATGTGGGATGGTCATAAGTATTCCGTGTCATTCAGCTCTTTGTTGACTTTTTGTTCTTTGAGCGGAATCAGCCTCTCCTGAGGCCAGTCTAGATGGATGTCCTGACCCTTACTGCTTCATTTCCAAGAGGGGTTGCTGGGTGAGCCATGGTGAAGTCTCAGGCTATCTTGTGAGGGGATAAGAGCAGAGGCAACACTACCCTGCCTGCCACTGCTTGTCCCTGTCCCCAAGCCATCACCTCCTCTCCCTCTGCAGTGACATCCTCTGTGCACACATTATCACGTGTTCAAGGTTGACTGGGGAAATCATAGCCATTCAGGGGATTTTATTTTTTCACATAATCTCTGTCCAGTGTGTCTCTTCTGAAATTAGTTTGTCATTTTAAGCAGAGCAAGAAAAGAATATCTTGTCAACATTAACCATTTTTTTTAATCAAAGAATTTCAAATATACACAAAGGCAGAGAATTTTACTTACTTACCTATAACCTAGATTCAGCAGCTACCATGGTTTTGCTGCATTTGCTTTGTTCTGTTTCCCTCCTTGCTGGAGCATTTTAAGGTACATCTCAGACATGATGTCATTTCATTCCTACAGACTGCAGTGTACGTAATAGTCCAGACACTTGTTTACATAGCTGTGATACTATCACCACACCTAACATAGTTAACAATACTCCTCATATAATCTGATATCCAGTCCCTAATCATGTTTCTTCAGTTGTCTCCTTTGAGCACCTGGCTTATTTGAATCAGATTCCGAAGAAGGTCCTTATGTTACATTTGGTTATGTCTCCAGTCTCTTTACTCTGGAGCAGCACTCCCCCTCCCGCCTTTTCTATGCCATGTACCTGTGGACTGCCTCACATTTTGGTATTTTTCTGCTTGCTTCCTGGTAGTTCCTCTATCCCTCTTAGTTCCTTCAAATAAAAATGAGCTCTGGTTCCCTCTTTTGGCAAGAATGCTGTGAGGTGATGGTGTGTGTTTCCTGCTACCTGGGGCTGGAAGGCGCAATGATCTTGTGGTTCCTCTGTGAGTTACACCCACTCAGATAAGCACCGGGGCTTAGGTGCTGACAGCCTGACCCTCACAAAGCAGAGTTCCCAGTGGTGCTTTCACCTGCTGTTTTGCTCATTTCCTACCACAGTGTGATTTAGGTATTCCGTAAGGGTTACATATTTACTATGTTGTTGCATTACCTCAAAAGAGAGTTCATAGAAGAAAGATGGGAGGAATGCTGACCCTCCTTTTAAATTGCCAATTTTCAGGGTAAAAAATTGGTGCCCTAGGTTCTTCCAGTTTTGTCCAGAGCCACAAGCCTCTGTCTCCTTGCCTGTTTGTCCCTCTCTTTCTTGCTCTGCTCCCCTCATTCACCACACCTAAAATCATCTTGAGCTCATGAGGTTTATATATTTAATGTGCATTTTAGTAGACGGTGTTCCTTATTCCTTTTGATGCTCAGTTATCCCATGTTTGGCAGATGGGGGTTTCTTCATAAATGGGTATCTGTTGTTCCTTGGCACAACTCTCTTGCTTTCTGACGTAACAAGCTGTCCCAGGCTCATTTTGTAAAATACTTCTTTGGCCCTGCAATAAGCTGCTCCTCCAAGGATCCCTATGCTTTTTGGTGGAGGTACTCCACCAAATGTAGGGGAGGGGGCTCCACTATCAGCTGTTACTGCTTCCAGGCCTTTTTACTGGAAAGAGCTAAAAAAGACATGAGTTCAAACTGATATTTCTAAATCAGATTTTATGTTACAGGATTTTTTCCCTTAACTTTAATTTTATTTTTGTATCATTTATCTCATATTGAATCTTGGTTCCTAACAACACTAACATAATATTTGGTTGCGTTATCCTACTTACAGAAACACCAGTGTGATTAAAACTAACAAACTACTGAAAAAAGTTTGGTTTTTTTCTAGACATGTATTTTTTCTAGACAGTGACTGTTTTTGTTGAAATTTTGGGTATCTAGTTGAATTTCATAGTTCACACTTCCACCTAGAATTAGTCCAATTTATTTTGTCATTTTAGTGTACCCTCAATCAACCTGTACCCTACCTCTGTATGGAACATACTGTTGAAAGTATTATTTTAAGATCTGTTGGTTTCATTTAATTAATTAATTAATTGAAGCATCACTTCCTGAGTATAGGATACAGGAGATGAAAGATTGCTAATACATGATCCTAAGCCTCAAAAGATTTCAGATCAAGTATTTTGGGACTTCTCTCTTCTTTTATTTGATCATCATTCTATTTGTTGTGTATTTTATCCCATGTTGGTTGTCAAAAGATTGGTAATAAGCCATTGGGAAATGTCCCTTTATTCTGCAAGACCAAACTGAAGCAGGACATGTCTGTGGAGGAAGAGAGGGACATGTCTGAGAGGGAAGAGAGGGTGTCATAAAATATGCTATAGATGCATTCAACAAATATTAATTGAGCACCTCCTCTTTACCAGAATGTAATAGTGAGCAACAACAGAGTTCCCTCATGGCATTGACATGCTAGTATAGAAGTCGATCAAAACCAAGAAACTATAATTAAAAGTTCTGTGTGTTTTCATGGAATCAAATAAGAAATTAAGATAGAGTCTTAGACAGGGGCCTTCTTTACAGAGGGAGGGACAGCTGACATGCCAAGCCACACATAAGGTGAGGGAGAGAGCATCTCAGGCATGGGGAACAGCATGTACAAAGGCTCCAGGGCAGGTGCCAGCTTGGGGTGTTTGAGAACAAACAGAAGGCAAGGTCATACAGGACCTGGGGTATTCTTTTGAGGGTTTGGGTTTTATTTTAAGTACATCAGGAAACACTGAGACCAGTAAAGCAAGGAAATGGCATTTAATACCCATATGTCATATTCTTTCTGTAGATTGGAGGCTACTCAAATAAGATGTTTTAGCTACAGAGCAGCAACATTATCCCTTCTGAAGTCAACATGGAGAGAGCTTTCCTCCTTTCTGTAGGACTGTGCTGCTTATGCACATTTAGGTCTTCAGAGGAGGGTTTTCTTTTTCAATAATAATCCCTTGATGTTCAGATAATTACAGTAAGTGTTGTAATGGGATTGTATATTTGGGCTATGAACAGGAGCATGATATCTGCAAATTCTCTTCTTCAGACCTGCGAAGTCAAGAGACACGTCTCTCTCGAAGATAAGAAAGCTCCTTCCTCAAGATCAGAAAAGGTCTGTATCGCTGCTCTCACACTGACATAAAGTTCATCATGGAACCAGTAGCAATTTTCTGGACAAAAAAGGCACTTTCAGTGTATTTATTTGTGTTTCTGTTACAGGAGGATACCTATGTAGGAAATCCTCAAAAGGAAGGTCTCGGCATACCTGGACATCAAGGAGCTTGCTTCTGGGAAGGCTCCTGTCTGATGTGTAGGAGGCAGAATGTCATACTGACTCTTCAGAAGGAGGCCACAGGGGATCGAGAGCAACACACAGTATCTCCTCTTCTACTACAGGGGACACTGTGCAGTCCTTTTCCTAAAAGTGAGAAGTACGAGATTGTTCTGCAAGAGCAAGATTCCAGGGGCTTAGAAGCGCAAAAGTTTACCCCTTGGGAACTCCTTGGAATGTTGACAACTCAGGATCTAAAAGAAAGTTCTGTGTTAATGAGTTACAGAATTCACGTGGAAGTAAATGTCACTTTATAATCAGTAATAATCCTGAGTGAGGAGCACTATGCAGGAAGAAATCTTCCATAGAAAGTCAGGCAGGGAAAAGCTTAGGCTAACCGTAAAACTACCAAATCGAGTGAGCCTGAGATAAGTGGCCACAAAATGGCCAAATAAGAGACTTTATGAAATAGCAATCCTGGAGCTATAGTAATTGTAAGGAAATTTTCTCCTCTAAATTACGATACCAAATAGGAAAAATGATCTACAAGTGCCCCATGTGTAGGGAATTTTTCTCTGAAAGAGCAGATCTTTTTATGCATCAGAAAATTCACACTGCTGAGAAGCCCCATAAATGTGACAAGTGTGATAAGGGTTTCTTTCATATATCAGAACTTCACATTCATTGGAGAGACCACACAGGAGAGAAGGTCTATAAATGTGATGATTGTGGTAAGGATTTTAGTACTACAACAAAACTTAATAGACATAAGAAAATCCACACAGTGGAGAAGCCCTATAAATGTTATGAGTGTGGCAAAGCCTTCAATTGGAGCTCACATCTTCAGATTCACATGAGAGTTCATACAGGTGAGAAACCCTATGTCTGTAGTGAGTGTGGAAGGGGCTTTAGTAATAGCTCAAACCTTTGCATGCATCAGAGAGTCCACACCGGAGAGAAACCCTTTAAATGTGAAGAGTGTGGGAAGGCCTTCAGGCATACTTCCAGCCTCTGCATGCATCAGAGAGTCCACACAGGAGAGAAACCCTATAAATGTTATGAGTGTGGGAAGGCCTTCAGCCAGAGCTCCAGCCTCTGCATCCATCAGAGAGTGCACACCGGGGAGAAGCCCTATAGATGCTGTGGGTGTGGGAAGGCCTTCAGCCAGAGCTCAAGCCTCTGCATCCATCAGAGAGTGCACACCGGGGAGAAACCTTTTAAATGCGATGAGTGTGGGAAGGCCTTCAGCCAGAGCACCAGCCTCTGCATCCACCAGAGGGTGCACACAAAGGAGAGAAACCATCTCAAAATATCAGTTATATAAAATGTTTGCTAAGAGTTAAAAATCTTAAAACCCATAAGTGCCACTAGGAAGGAAACCCTGTAAATACCTACATTGACCCAAGAAATTTTTACCACTAGCCCCAGCAAAACATTCTTTTCAAAGAGGCATACGTGAGGTTGATTTTTTTGATTCAGGCCAAGTGTGTTCCACAACTTGACTTTGAACCTGAAATTCCTCTAAGTGCCCTAGATGGGCGGTGAGGTCCCAGTGCTGAACACGTGTGTCCTGGGATTCCAGCATGATGCCTCAGTAGTTGAAATACTACACAGGAAACCATAATTGTCACCCAGCCTCCCGAGTCACCTTCTGTCTATGCTTTACCTAAAAGTTACCCCAGAGACTTCCCCTCTGGAAGCTCATGCCCTTCTTTTGATTCAAGCATACTGGTTAATGCATTTGAAAATGGATAGCCCCCACTAAGATAGTGTTCTGGTATTTCTGAGGTTACCACTTGGTTGTGCCCCTACATATCTTTCCATATGTCCCATTATTTCTGAATCCACTTTACCTAATGTCCTCAAAATACCCATAAATATCCACCCCTTCCTAGATGGCATAAGTTCCACTATAGATTTTAGGTGGCTTGTGATCCCCTTTAGCCAGCCTGTCAGAAAGATCATTGGCAGAAATACTTGTCCTTGAATTTTCTTGAACTTTTTAAAAACTTTTGTGGATTCTGCTAATCACTGTGTCTCTACGTTAGACTTAATTTTCTAGTGGCTACATCACATATTTTTAACTTGAATTTTTTTGGAAATAGCCGAATGTAAATAGCAGGGAGGGAGAAGCAAGCAAAATTAGGACTTTTCTCCATGCAGAACTGCCCTCTTGGGCTCCTTTTGTAACATATAGAACTCCTTATTAGCTAGGGGAGCCCGTGGAAGTGGTAGGTAGGAGGAGTCACTAATAATAGTCGCTGTTTCTGTAATTTTGGGCAATAACATGTAGGAGTCCTTGACACCTGTTCATTGAAGATTATCAATTCCTTTTTAGGCATGAATGTCTATGTTAATCCTTTTTTTTTTCATTCATTCAACAAATATTTATTGAACACCTCCTATGTGCCAGGCACTGTGCTAGGTCCTGGGAATGCCACTGAGTAAGACAGACAAGGGCCCTACTCTCATGGAGTTTACTTCTGATGGAGGAGGCAGATGATAAGTAAACAAATAATGTAGTTTGAGATAGTGATTAAGTGCTATGGAGAAAATAAACTAGGGTGATTTAGGGGTGGGGTGGGGTGGGGGTGGGGGCAACATTAGCTAGTGGTCAGGGATGCCTTTCTGCTGGGTGGTGGTGGAGTGGAGAGCAAAGACAAGAAACACCAGATGGCAGAGTAGGGGTGCTGTGGTGGGGCGGCCCTGACGTGCATTTGGAAGAGAGGCAGCCAGGAGCTGGAATGCGGTGAGCAGCAGGGAGGGGAGAGAGACTGAACTGCTCAGTATCCTGACATTTAAAGGCCTTTTTTTTTTTTTTTTTGGGCTAGATTGATACTAAAAACTCATGTGGAGGAACTCAAGGAATGTTTAGAAGACCAAAAGTCCCCAATGACAAGAACAAAAAGCAACTAATTTTTAACATTGTTTCTCTTCTCATTCCTGTTTTTTCATTGATTTCCCACATGTAGTCCTTTTGCTCAGGAAGTCTTTGGGGAAATTAAGGACCTTTGAAGCTCTGAAATGGGTGATCAGGTTAGTGGTGTCTGTCAACTGTCTTAAGAGGCTGGAAAATGAACTACCCAAAATAGTCATTGAAATACTGAAACAAAGCTTGATTTTTCTCTTTATATTTGAATTAATTTCTTCTGTTTGACTGGAAGGGGTTTTTGTATAACTAAACCTCAAGGCATAAAGGGGATTTAAAAGGAGCACATAATTTAGTGGATGGGCCATGAAGCCAGAGATAGGATTTGGGGGGTAAGTTTGTCACTGTTGGGACAACAGACCTCTAACCCAGACCTCTCTGTTAACAAGCCTTTGGGAAGTCACTCCTCAGACATTTCCTCCTCCTCAGAGAGGGGTACCTTCACTATGTGATAAAGCCCCTTCCAGGCCTGAATTTCTTGACGATTTACTGTAGTGTCTTATCACTCTTTCATATCACAGTAGTGTGGAGCATTAGAGAAAAGCCTAGACTTTTAGTTGATAGAGAGCCAGTTGAAATATCATTGATAGAATTTTAGTTTTAGGAAAAAATTGGTTTGATTTCTAGCTTTATTACTATTAGGTATGTGAACTTGGGCAAATCGCTTAATCTTTGAGTCTAGTTTTCTCACAAAATGAGGATATTAGACTAAATGATTTCCAAGTTTCCAGCTAGTCCTAGAGTTCTATATTTCTACATAGTTGAATTATTTTATCATGCTGTTGCTGGGAATATGACTAACACTTTTGAAGCTACTAATTTTATGTCGAGCTTTAAATTCCATAATTGTTATCTTTGGAAAATATTATTTGACCTACAGTATGTCCAAATCAATTTAATAAAATCACTTTATAACAGGGTTCTGTGCTTAACATGAATGGGGGGTCATCGTGTATGTGTGTTGGGGGGGTTGGTTTGTGCCCTATGCCTAGAGTGACCATATAATTTATTGTCCAGACTGGGCCCTGAGTACAGGAGCTAATATCAATACTAAATGAGGACAGTAGGCCTAATCTGGGACTATCCCAGCAAACCAGGGTTTGAGAACAGCCTGGCCCAGGGGTCACATCCCAAGCAAGTAACAAATGACTGAATTGTGTCAGAAGTTGCAAGGTCTGGCAGACTGGAGAAAGTATGGTCCCTACTTGGCTTTAGCTCTTTCTTTCCATGCTGGAATACATGCTAGGGTTCCCATATGTTCTGCTCTTTTAGGAAAAAAACTTAGCAACCTAGATTTTACATTAAATTTATGGATTTTTAAATGTTGGCAATGAATTCATGTTTCCTGTGTGACCCACTTTGTCGTTTGTATTATCTGCCTGGTGCTGATAGGCTTTTATTTCACGTTGCAAGACCTTCTCCAGTCCCTGATGACTGAAACCCCCTCCTGGTGAGGCAGGACATGCTCTTAGCTGAAGCCATGGTGGTCTGTGTCCCATGCCTCACTCCCAGACTGTGGTTCTGGAATCTGCTAGCTTTGAGGGACAAGGCTGCATTACACTTCCACTGTGGATGTGGAAGCAGCCAAACTGGCCCTTTTGATATGGGAGTGGGGTGGGCAAGAGTGGTCACACAGGGCTCCAGTGCCACCTACGGTCACTCTTGCCTGGTGCCTGCTAGGACTTAGGGTGTGAGAGAGGTATGTCAAGGCTGACTTCATAGTTTCTAACTTGGGATCCTGAAGTGAGTTGCAAATTGCATCTTTAAGATTAGAAGAATTCTATCAAATCTGAGAGCCCAGCAACATTCAGATGGGCCTCTATGAGATGTATGCCCAGGCTTGTTGCAGGCCACCTTGAGGAAGCTGCACAGGGATCTTTGTGTGTTGTGTGAGCTTGGACACAATGGCTTCCAAGGGACCTTCCAATTCATGGTTCTGTTATCCTAAAAAATACAAAATGATTAAGCAGTTTTTCTGTACAACTTGCTGTTATTCTCAGGAATTTAGAAAAAAATAGGTAAATGGAAAGCAAATACTAGAAACATGAAGAAAAATACTCAGTGATAAAACTAAACCCTTAGGGAAGAGATGAAAAAGAGCCTGATGCCATGCCATGGCAGGAGCCAGGTATACGTAGCATTGGCAAATGAAGGTACACTTGAGGGGTAAGGAGATGAGGAGGAAGGGGAGGCAACTCGCACTCTGTGACCCTGTGGAGTTTAACTTCTCTGGACCTCAGATTTCTCATGTGTAAAATGGTTTTGAAAATACCTATCTCGTGAGATAGTTGGGAAGCTAAATACAATAAACACATATGAAGTGCCTAGCATTTAGTAATACCACAGAAAAAAATAGTAATCCTGGTTGCCTCTTAAGGAAGATGAGTCATGTTATTTGGAGTTCCTTCTGCTCTACTGAGCACTACAGTGGGTTTAGGTGCCTGAATTTGGAGGTAGGACCTGGAGAGGGCTAGTGGTTCCACACAAGAGAGAGGAGAACCTGAATGTCCTAGGACAGTCTGGGATGAGAAGTTAAAGACCAACTGGAGAAGGAGTGAAAGGGGCATGGCGGGGGGGTGGGCGACCAGGAAGTAGGATGGTGAGAGGTGCACGCCTTCGTGTGCAAACCTTGATGACCCCAAAATCTGAAGTTTTGGGAGGCTTTCTCTGAGTGGGCTTAACAGAAACTAGTGGAAGGACTGAGTGCCTTGTCCAGGCTGAAATGGGGCAGGACATATGTGTGGCACATAAGTAGATGTTGGAGCCAGAGGAGGGTGGCCACAAGGTCATAAGTGCCTAGGAATAAGGAGAAGTCTTTGGGAGAGCTTCAGGCTTCCAAGGCTGTGTTTACCCAAGTCCCTTCTGGGCAGGGAGGCTCTTGGGTATCTTTGTTACCACTCCTCGAATATGTAGGCAGAATAATTTTAAAATCATAAGTTTCAACATTTATATTCCTATGTTATATTTAAAAATAATAAGAACATAAGCAAATCCGAAGATCCCAAGGCGTTGTGCTTATTATATGTCAGCAAGAACTTGGCATAGTCCTTGATGGAAGGTGACTAATACCAAAGTGCTTTTATTCAGATTTAAGCATATGCAAATAAAATACATTTTTAGAGTAAAAGCAGGTACAGATTGCTCCCATTGATTTTCAGGTGAATATATACATTTTATAGACTCTGTTTTGTGTGTACCCTGCCAATTATACTTCCTAAAAACTACAGAAAATGGGTTCACTTGGAGCATTTTCATCTTCTTTTGTGTTGGCCCTGATCCAGGTCTTCTATGAATTGTGAAATATGGTGAAATGAAATACCGTGAAATGAAAATGCAGGTGAGAACAGCTAGGCATTTCAGGGGGACTGGCAGGGAGTGGGGAGAATTGGCCATATAAGCAGAAACCGCTGGACTGACCCCCAAGTCTGTGTCTTGGTTGCAGAGGAGGCAATTCTTGCTGTAAAACTGAGGTTCCCAGTGCTTGTGTGGGTTGTATTTAGATTCTCAAATAAAGCTATTCATATTACTTGGTGTTGGGTCTTCTGTGTCCCATGTCATTTACCTGGAATACAAGCGTAAGACAGTATCTCTTCATTAACATCTAAATCAATCATCTTGAGCCTCCATCCTGTTTGTCCCTGAAATGTTCTTACTCCTGGCCCTCTTCTATCCCCATGGGCCCTCCTCCTCCTTTTCTGAGATAAACTCAAGCCCCGCCAGGGCCTTGTCCAGAGGGTGAGACTGTCTCTAAAGTCCTGCAGAGTGAAGTGGAGATGTGCACTGGGGTGCCAGCAGGCAGTGTCTCCTGCAGCTGTGGCTGCTGGGGGGCTGTTGAAAACAGTAGTGTTTGGAGAGAACTGTGAATCTCTATGTATTGCACACCAAGACAGCTCACTGACCAAGTACATCAGGAAAAGAAAGAAAAATACAAAAAAAGTACCAAATAAAATGAGTAAATTCAAACATAGCATTAATCATAGTAAATGTGAATGGGATATATTTACAGGCATTTTCAAGTTGAATTACAAACTTCACCACAAATATGTGTATGGGTTGATGACAAGAGACCATCTAACATAAAGAGGTGATAGCAGTTTGCAAATGAAGGACTGAAAAAACATCAGGAAAGTGCTAACAAAAAAGTAGTGGTGGCACTGTCCATTAAAATAGAATGTCAGGTAAACATCCGTTTATGAAGGGAGTAATTTTGTCCAGAAGAGAAATAATTACATGCTCTTATTTGGCTAACAACAGCTTACAAAGATAGTGTATGTTTTTAGAACTACAATGAAAACTTAAGTAATTCCTAGTCACAGCAGGAGATACTAATCTGCATCTCTCAGAAATATGCAAAAAAAAAAAACTAGACAAAGGATTGTTTGATTAGCACCATTAGAAAATTGATCTGTCAGCTCTCTGAACTTTGTGCCAATAAACTTTCTTGGAATATTTACAAAAATTGACCATGTTAGAAAATCTCACTAAATTCCAAAATGTGGAAATCCCACAGGCCACATTCTCTGACTACAATGTAATTAAATCAAAGTTGCTGAGACAAAAAGCCTGTCTACTTGCATTCTCTATAAAATAACAAAGCATCTTCCCCTCCAAATTAATGGCTCCAAGCAAGTACCCACCCTTCAGGATGGATGCGATGATGACATCATTTAACAGCTTGTTGGATGGGACAAAAATGAGCAAAATTTATCACCTTAAATTCATTTATTCTATAAATATTAAAAATAAACGAAGCTTTCAAACTAATAAGCAGGGGGCGTTTATTGAGTTTCTGTTATGTCCTTGTTCCTCTCTCCTGTTACTGTTCTGAGTCATTTTGAAAATAAGGATAACTTTCTTGGTCATTCAATTTTTGAAAATTTCCATGTGAATCTTAAGAGGTTGTTCAGTTATGCCTTCTTATTTAAAAAAGTGTTTAGATGCTTTTTATCTTTGTTCCAGAAGAGATTGTGTAGCACCTAGATCAATGTCAGTGTTCCTCCACACTTGCCCAGAGTAAAGGTAACCTCTGGTTTTAATATCTTGATCATTGGAGCTTTAAAGGTGTACTTTTGAAGGTGTACAGCTCCTTGGCATAGCCCCTTGACATGGAGCTTACTAAACCTGTCAACATTCTACTTTTTCCAAGACTATTCAGATTTTCCCCCTCATTTTTATTAATTCAGTTTCCCAGAAAGATCATTCTGATTTTGGAGATCTCAAAATGTATTTCAGAGATGTACATACTCTAAATTCTTAGCACTTATTGGCACCTTGATTAATAGTCCTTTCTTATACCTCCCATTGCATATTCTATTTTCCTTTTTTAGACTTAATGGTTATGTCTCTTGTTTTTATTACCCCCCCTTCACGTCCTAAAGAACCAGATCCTGGATTTGGTCATTGATTGTACTGGGTATTTTCTGTGTTCTCAGTTATACTCCTTTTATTGCCATTGATCACATCCTCTTGCTTTCCTTAGTTTTATTTTGTTATTTTCCTTTAACTTTTAGTTGAATGCTTAATTTTATTTCTTGTTAAATAATAAATACATTAAAGCTATAAATTTTCCTGAGGGCAAAACACTTCATTATAACCATCATAATAAAACCAGTAGTTAACACTGTGGTCAGAGCTTCAAACCCTAGCCGTTAGTTTTTGGCTATATCCCATAGGTGTTAAAATGAAATGCCCTCATGGTCACTATTTTCTAAACCGTGTTGTAGCTGCTTTCACCTCTTGGATCCAAGCATTATTTAGAAGAGTTGATTTAATGTTTTCAGGTTTGTTTTACCCCTTTTTCATTAATCACTATAGAGAATCTGGCCTGTACAATTTCTGTTTTAAGAAACACAACTTTTTTTTTAAGTTTTAAAAAATCAGCCTTCTTCCTTGGACAAAGCAAGACCCACCAACATTGTATGTTTGAGTTCTGGGATACTTTGCCCCTAGAGGAGATGACAGCATATTTTGTTCCAGGCCAGGTGGATTCCGTGAGTGCCAGGAGCTGAGCCCCCATATATTCAGTACTTCAGAGGTAAGAGAGCCCCAGTTGGGGTGGCTGCCACGAACTCAGTGCTGGCCTCTTGGGAATGAGAAAAAGGTCCCCATGTGGGCTTGTTCCAGAGCAGGAAGAAGGGGCCTCCAGTGTTTACACAATTGCAGAGGCTCTTAGAGTTAAGGGCCATGAGGCCAGTAAAGAGCAGAGGACTCTCCCACAGAAGCCAACCCTGGTGCAAGCAGGCTTGAGTGGAATTTGATTCCCTTTAGGCAAAGAAATGGGTTTCTAGATCCTTAAAAGTTACAAAGTGATTGATACCTTTAAACTCATTCAATGTATTTGTATTATATTTACTTGTTTCTACTTGATCTAGCAAAGTTTGGAAGGAATTATTTTTCACTATGATTTTGGTTTGGTTAATTTCTCTGTGTATTTCTAATCCCATGCTGTTCATTGGATAAATGCCCATGATTTAATTTTCAGTTGTACTTTTATGGAGGTAAAATACCAGTCTTCACCCTGTTAAGTGGTGTTTGTTTGAGTTCCACGTTACTCATGTCTATATTAACACATATGTGTATATCCTGTCTTTTCCCCAAGAAATGATCTCCTATACACATACCATAGTTTGATTTTCATTCGGCGTGCATTATATGGCCACTTGATGTCAACACATTCAGAGCTCATCTTTCCTTTAGTGACTTGTTTTCCACTGCATGTCACCCATCCTCTGCTGATGGAAATTCCCCCAGGTTTTCTCCTACTATTTTTATGCATAAATCTTTGACTTAAATCTTTTAAATCTTTGTTTTTTTAAGGACACTGGTAAAGCTCAGTTAAAAAACATCTTCTCATATGGCTAGCTAGTTATCCTATTATTGAATCTTCTCTCCACAGATTTAAAATGCTATTACAAGCCAAATTCTCATATATATTTGGATCTATTTCTATTCCATTCAGATAATTTAAATTACTGTACCTTTATTGTTTGTTTTAATATTTGCAAAGCCAGCTCCTCTATTATTCTTCTCTAAATATTGTCATTCTGTTCTACAGTGTTTATTACCTTTAGACTTCAGTGTCATTTTGTCTTACCTGTGTCTTACAAACAACAGGATAATTTTTCTGGATTGGATGTTCATTCTTCCTTTTGATAAAGACAACACATTTTCTCTCTTTTTTGCTAATTTGTTGAATGAGTAGTGCTATTGTCAGTTGAAAGGAAAACAAAAATGTGGTCACATATTTATTATTTGGTTCATCACCCTTTCCTTTATAATGTACATAAAATAAGCTTGAAATTCAATTCCTCATGTGATGAGAAATCTCATTATTTTGGGGGATGGGACAACTTTTTTGGCAATGTTTTTACTGTGGTATATTTATATTTCTTACACTGCTGGCTCCCACTTTCCCACTGTTTCAAGAGTTCTCACTCTCACTCTCTGCATTTTGACATTTATGGACTCCACTGTCCTGTGTTTTTTCCCTAAACCTCACAGACTCATGCTGTGTATGTGTCTGTGTGTATATGAACCAATCCCCTTTAATAAATCTCTTTCTATATATCTCTATATATTCTCTTAATTCTGTTTCTCTGGGGAACTCTGTCTAATGTACCTCTAATGTGTTTAGGGCTTGGAGCAAAAGTACAAATGGAAACCCACATCCCATCCGTCTGCATCTTTAAAAGCCATAAATCAAGTTAACACAGTGTTCTAATAAAATATGTTCTAGTCTTCTACTGGAAGGCTGCTCAATTCTAGAGTGCTGTGACTCTTCAGAGTTCCATGCTAGTCATGGCAGTCCAGGAGGGTGGACACCCCACCCACAGTCCAAGTCTTCCGCACCCCCCACCCCAAGCTGCCCCTCTGTCCAACCTCAGGCTGGGATGTCTATGCCAGCAGCCTGCTCTTAAGAGGGTGCACTGGAAGAAAAGTCTAATGCAGGCCCTGTGAGCAGGCCTGGGCTGTTGGAAGGAAACTCTCAGGTTGGGGTATTTGGAGCTTGACTCTCCCTTGGTCCCTAAGAGGGTCCCCTCTTGACCCCTCTTGACCAGGTCCCAGGACAGTGCAGACTTGACCGTGCGCCATCGGAGATTTAGTCAGCAAAGGTATCAGTTAAGACCAGTCTGACCGAAATTTCTGCGGCGTGTGAATAAACAAAAATAGTATTTACCGAACAGTCATTTTGAGGAAAGAAAGAAATGGAATCCAAAGCCCATGAGCTCCAGCCTTTGATCACATGTCTTGGGCATCAGCTTGTTAGTATTTTTGGGTCTTTTTTCAGTTTCCCTTGTGTTCAAACTTCATGTTGGCCAACTTGTTTGACCTTCCCCAGGGTAAGTGGTGGGAAGACATGTGAGTAACTATTTTCTGCATGTTTCTATCTCCATGAAAATGCTTATCAAGATCCTCAAGAGATCCTTGGCCTGCAAGTTTCCTGGGGAACATAAGATTGTTGCCAACCTCACATGCTTGAAGCAGGGAACCCTTGGCGGCTTGAGAGGCCACTGTCGTGAATGGTTTGTGCT